TGAAATATATTTATGTTTGTGGTTGTAATGTGACAAAATATGGAAAAGTTCAAGGGGTATGAATACTTTTGCAAACCACTGTAATTAGTGAAGAATAAAAGTAAAAGGTTTACAGTCAATTAAAAGATAATTATCCTCACTGGATGAATAAGGTTTGGTATTTACTTAATTTTTCAAGTTTCTAAAGAGGAAACCCCTTCTTCATTCGACTTTGTCAGGTTTCAGTAACTATGGTTTAAAATTCAAAGGGCGTCAGAACCAGTCCTGACCTGTTCTCAGTAAGAAGTAACCATCCTTACCTGAGGGACTGACAGCACAGCACTCATACCCCACGCCACAGTGAGCATTATTCTGTTCCTCATCCTGGCTTTATTGATTGCCAGGGGGTTGAGGATGGCTGACTGCCTGTCCAGACTTATCACCACAGTGACAAAAGCACAGGAGTACATCGCCAGCAGCTTCAGGAACATCAGAAGTCTGCACGCCAAGTCCCCGGCCAGCCACTGGACCGTGATGTTCCACGCCGCATCCACAGGCATCACGATGAAGGTCACCAGGAGATCAGCCACGGTCAGGTTGACGATCAGGATCCTAACGTGGGATTTGCGTTTCCCGTCGGCGTGCGCCGCCCACAGCACGGCCAGGTTGCAAAAGGCCGACACGCCGCAGAGGATGAAGGTGACGATCACTCTGACTTTGGCTGCTGTGGTGAACGTGGGCAGCTGAGGGGCGTCTCCTCCGGCCGTCCAGTTGGAAGCACCGGAGGAGCCGTTGCAGCTGGTGTTAGGTTGGCGGTCCACCACCACATCGTACATGGTGACTGAGGAGTCACACAGAGAGGTGTTCATCTTCTGCCGGGGGAGGAAACATCTTCCTCGTCCACTGCAGGCATCAGAACTGACAGCAAAGACAAGAAGAAAGAGCGAATCAGCACAGGTCCAGATGGATGGGTGACAAACAGCTGGACTGTGAGATTAAAAAAAACAAACAGCTCATTAATGAGTTTAACACATAAGATGCAAGACACATGGACAGATCGTCTGTTTTCTCCAAAGTGGAAAGATTAAATGAACACTAGAAAACACATTAGGGCACCTAGCTCAAAATTTAAACTTCTAGAATGAGTGTCCAAATCCTGGTCCTCGAGAGCCGCTATCCTGCAGGTCTTACTTGTTTCCCTGCTCCAACACACCTGATTCAAGGATAAAATTATTAGGTTCTGCAGATGTCTGTTATTCACCTATTCATTCAAATCAGGTGGGTTGAAGCAGAGAAACCTCTATAACATGTAGGATAGTGGTCCTCAAGATCCTGGATTGGACACAGCTGGTCTATAAAAATCTACACTTTCTCACAATATAAACTTAACCCAAAAATTACGAAATTTTGTGTTTTGTGAATTATTTCTTGTTGTAACACTGCTTCTTGGCAGTGTTGCAACAAAATCTTATACTTTTGTTATTTTATCATTTAAATGGTGCCTCATTTGTAAGGAACATGCATTTGTAGGATGAGAGCAGCAGAGCTGAGTATGTGGGTTGCGCACATGAAAAATTGGCCAAATCTCTATTGAACAGCTTATTCTGCTGTTATCGACACTGGTTTGAGCTTCTGGTAACTCCAGGTGCTACAATCATAAGATTTATTGCCAAGAAGCATTGTTACGACAAATAAATAATCCACCAAACACAAATTTTCTTACTTTTTTCTCAAGTATTAAAAAAAATCGTAACAATTTGTATAAATTGTAATATAAATCAGACTACATACTCCAAACCTAATAGATACAAAATTGCACATAATCTTTTATTTTCAAGGTTTGACCCAAGCAGCTACAACTCTGTCATTTTTCAGTACAAGAAGTTTTAAAACTCTGACATGAGAGGCAGTGGACAATCAACGCACAACTGGAGTGCATCTAAACCACGTAACCATGTGATCGACCAGCTGCAACACTAAACAGCACGGCGTGGATTTACACAGACCCAGTCGGGCTTGCTGTTTATCTAACAGTTMCTATGACAGCTGTGAGCTGACGCTCCGTTTGGTCACCATATTTGCTCCTCCATTGTCACAGATGCTAACATTGGACGGGATAGGTGATGCTCACTCTAGTGATATTCAACTCCATGTGGGCGATACACATTCCTTCAAGGTCAGCTAGGCTTTTAAGCTTCGTATGCTTCTGGATTTTTCTGTTCCATTTAAGATGATCTGGAAAACGGTTACAAGAAGCACAACGAACGAAGTCTGACTTAAAGCTGTCTCGTTGTGGAAACGTACATTATTTTATGAGACCAAAACTGTGACTTTCAGGCAGGGAGACCCTGGATGATGGCTGCTGTCAGCACACTATGCAAACCTCTGTAAGGACACATTTGTGCGCACGCAGGGAAAACACTTTGCATGTTTCAGCAGGACCGTGTCAAACCACATTCTGTTTGTTTTTACAAAAGCATCCAGAGGACGGGGCACAAGGACAGTCGGGTCGTTAAAGCATCAAAAGCCCAAAGGAGCTGAGCAGCTGAGGTCCTGAGTGAAGCAGGGCTCAATGAATGTTTTAGATTCATGGCTGCTGCTGTGTTTAAAACAGATTAACAGTTATTAAATAAATTAGCAATAAACCCTCTCTGTATAAACAGCTTCATTATGGAAATATAGATGCCACTTAGTGTCAGCTGTGGATGCAAAATAAAACGTGATGTTGACTTGCTGTAATCACGTTGTAAGATTAAAATCTCTCTCTCTCTCACTCTCTTTCTCTCTGATGAAGGTTGGTGTTTTTTGACAGCTAAACTGATTAAAGATTGATTTTTACAGCAGGGATGCACTGAAATTGTCATTTCAAAGGAGGAAGAACAGATCTCTTGGTCACGGTTCATGCTTGCCTTAAAATCGTCTCTTAATTTATCCTGCTCTGCAGCGCTACTATATAAATCAGATTTATACTTTCTAGAGTTCGTTGCTCTGCATTAAAGGAATAAAATGACCAAGCTGTGCAGAAATCCTGTTTAACTCAAGGTATCTGTTTCTACAGCCACATACAGCTCTGGAAAAAAAATAAGATACCACTTTAAAATGATAAGTTTCTATGAGTTTACTCTTTATATGTTTGAGTAAAATGAACATTGTTATTTTATTCTATGAACTACTGAAAACATGTCAATAGTTCCAAGTAAAAATTTAGCATTTATGCTCAAAATGACGACAAAGGTGCAGTGCTTTCACATCTCAAATAACGCACAGAAAACAAGTTCATGATCATTTAGAAACAACAATACATGAAGAAACTAAGAAACTAATATTCAGTTCTGCTTTCTACTGAAGTGGCTTAAAAAACAACAACAATACGAATGTTTTAACTCAGGAAGAGTTCATAAATCAATGTTTGGTAGAATGCTTTCCACAGGGAAAATATGCAGTGGTCTCTTAATTAGAGCTGTAGGTTGTAAAATAAATCAACATTTTAACAAGTGACAGCTTATTATTTCTGTGTTATTACTCGAAACCAAACAAGTATTTCCTTTTTCAAATAGAAAAAAAGTAAAATTGTTGTTCATTTGAAAAATATTTTATTTTTAATCCCTGTAAATAGTTACACGCTCACATTCTGACGCTACCTTCCTCCACAGATAACGTTTTATTGCTCTTTCAGCAAAATCTCGTTTAAATCAATAATTTATTTTCAAATTGTTTAAAAACGAACGCTTCTTCATGCKGAGCTTTGACCTTCTATTTAAAACAAACAGAGCAATTCAGTAGAAAGTTTTTAATTACATGAAGTAACTCTGAATCAGTCAGGCGTAAAATTAAAACGAGGACAGAAGCGTTCACTCACCGTGAAGAGAGGCTGCAGAAACCTGAGAAGGACCAAATCAAAAGAAGCCTTTTTCCCTCGGTGAGAGTTCATCTTCAGAGAGCTGCTGCTCCTTTATCCTTCATCCTGACATCCATCAGAGCTGCAGAGCCTCCGGGGTGTGGTCAGACCTCCACCTCCTCACAACAAATCTCCCTGCCACACACACACACACACACACACACACACACACAC